TAGTTTTAATACTAGCTGCCAGCGTCACTTCATGACTTCAAAATCTGTAATATATTGGAATTGCAAATTCGCTCCGAGAAGCTCTATTGTTGTAATAAGAGTGCCGAGCGACTCGTAATGAGATGGCGTGAGAAATGCCAGCGTCTCGGAACGAGACCATCAGAAAATAAATTCTTATAGTCTACTATTATATTTCGGTAATGCTGGTTGAAAATCGCACAAAAAGCAACAGAAGGAGGCTGGCAACAAATATTTGTTTGACAAATGTGGTTGTTGAAGAATAAAGATTGTTTGCCTTGAATGAGTAGGCTTTATTTCACACAATTCAAGTAATGAAATTCATAAGTAAGAGTTAAATCTAGAGAATGCAATAATGATTACAAACATTCAACATAAACAAATAAAATAAACAAATAAAATAACAATGTCCAACAACAGTTGGGAATATTTTCTATCACATTCTTCCCCGCTAATATAATTTAAAGTCTTTAAGATGAGAAGGTCTTCTGTCTTGAGCTTTGTCTCTGTAATTGGGTTTCATCAGTCCCTAAGGTTTGTAGAGGCTCTTGAGTTGTAGATTCTTTTTAAGATTCTTCATAAATGCAATAGACAAAGGTGAAAATGTCATTGGAGTATTTCTAGATCTTAGTAGGGCTTTTGACAGTGTATCACACTGCAAATTATTAGCTAAATTGGAGGAGTTGGGAGTTTGTGGTAAGGAGCTGAGATGGTTTTCTTCATATTTAGACAACAGAGAACAGTTTGTTGAAGTTGATTATATTGTCGAGAGTGATAGTGCTCGATACCTTGAAAAATCCAGGTCTCAGTGTCAGACACTGCGTTACGGGGTTCCCCAGGGGTCAATCTTAGGCCCTCTGCTCTTTCTTTGCTACATAAGAGGCATGCCGGAGATGATCCCTGGGCCCGATGCATCAATGTGTCTGTATGCTGATGACTGTAATATTCTGTTTTCAGGAAAGTCACATGATTATGTGGAAAAATCTTTGAATAAAACAGTTCAGTTTATCCATGAGTTCCTTGATCAAAAAAATCTATTAGTAAATAAAAAGAAAACAAACCTAATATCATTTTCAACCAAACAATCAAAAGTCAAATTCGAGCCAAATATTTTCTTAAAATCAGATAGAATAGATCAAGTGGGCCTAACTAAATTTCTTGGTTTAATCATTGATGAAAATCTCTCATGGGATGATCACATCAATCACCTAGTAAACAAATTATCTTCTGGTATCTATGCTCTGAGACAGATGTCCAGAGTCTGTGATTTGGAAACTTTAAAAATTATTTATTATTCATTAGTTCAATCCCACATTTCATACGGAATCACAGTCTATGGTGGAACAACAAAAACAAATCTTGATAAAGTACTTAAACAGCAAAAAAGAGCAATTCGCACTATTATGAAATTACAGAAAACCATCTCAGTGAAGAATATTTTTCGTAAATTGGACATTTTAACTGTGTATAATTTATATATTCTTGAAACCATAATCTTTTTGAAACAAAGGGAACTAACAACACCCTCCAATCCCGGGCATAACTATAATACTAGGTTAAAAATTAGATTGCCTCAGCATAAATTAGAATATTATACAAAGAAAACCACCTATGCAGGATTGAAATTTTTACAATATTTACCAATAAACATCCGGCAGGAGACAAATTTCAAAAAATTCAAAAAACTTTTAAAAGATTTCTTAGTAAAAAATCATTTTTATTCATTACAAGAATTTGTAGATAAAACAAAATATTTCATTTGAATTTCCATTTATTTTTCATAATAGACATTTTGCGTAGATCTATGTTTTAATGTGTATGATTTGTATATAGATTTTGACTCTATTCAGATACATGTATGTTTCATATATGTTATATATTGAATAAAGACTATTTGAATCTTGAATCTTGAACGCTTCTGCATTGGGATGAGATACATCTTGGGTTTCGTCTACTAAGTTTCCATCGTTACTCAGTTCTATTGTGTGGCTCCCTGGTGTTGAATTATCATCAAAATCTGTTCTCTCAGCTTGTTTTCCACAAGGAGCTAAGTTGCGTGTAGACACTGTTGTCTCAAGCCCATCTAGCAATCGTACATGAGCGTAATCAGAGTTTCCTTCCAGCAACGTCACCTCCTGCACTATTGGTTCATGCTTAGAGTTTCTGATAGGACGTCTCATCAACACTTTTCCAGGAGTCATCAACCAGGTTGGTGTGTAAACACCATTTTGTTATCTTCTGGGATGTCCAAACATTTGTTCATGTGGCGAACAATTTGTGGCAGTACAAAGCAAGGATCGAATAGAGTGAAGAGCTTCATCCAGAACTAATTCCCACTTTGTCACGTCAAGTGTTGATAGTTCTTAAGGGCAAGTTCTACTATTCTCCAGATTATACCATTATACCTCTCAACCTGGCCATTACACTGAGGGTTGTAAGCAGTAGTCCGGCTAGAAGCAATGTCATTTAGAGTAAGACACTCTTTTAGTTCTTTTGAAAGAAAAGAAGATCCCTGAACGGAGTGAATGTAGCTAGGAGTACCGAACAATGAAAATAACTGTTTCAGTTTGCAAATAACAGTCGAAGAGAACATATCAGGACAGGGGTACGCAAATGGAAATCGTGAGTACTCATCAATGATTGTTAGCATATACCGATTTCTTGTAGAAGAGGGAAGAGGACCCTTAAAATCCAGGCTAAGAGGCTCGAACGGTGATGTTGCTTTTATTAATTTTCCATCATGTTTGAAAAATCTTGGTTTTACTTCAGAACATACCTTACAGGAAGCAGTCATTCTTCTTACCTCATCAAGGGAGTATGGTAAATTTTTGCTTCTGATCCAATGATACATACGAGTTTCACCAGGATGACACATTCTTTCATGATATTGATGAAGTCTGTTCATTTTGTCGCCCATCGAGCACACTCGTGATAAAGAGTCAGCAGCTACATTCAGTTTACCAGGTCTATAAACAATATCATAACTATAGCTCGATAGTTCTAGTCTCCACCTTATGATTTTGTCATTCTTAATTTTCCCTGATATCTTAGAGTTGAACATGAAAGAGACAGACTTCTGGTCTGTTATTAGTTTGAAAGCCTAGCAAATAGTGTCTCCATTTTCGTACTGGCTCCACGATTGCATATGCTTCCTTTTCAACCGAACTGTGCTTTAGTTTACTATGAGACAGAGCTCTTAAGAAAAAGGCTACAGGTTTTCCTTCTGGGTCAGTGTTGCTGCTATTGCAGTGTCAGATGCATCAGTCTCAACAGTGAAGGGTAGATCAGGATTTATGGGACTCATTGAGGCATTTTCAATCTCTTGTTTCAGTTCATTAAATACATTTATAGCTGTTGCGGATAAAGGGAAAGAGCTGGTTGTCAGAACTTTGATCTTTTCAGAAAATCGTGGGACATATCTTGAGAAATGGGAAAACATTCCTACTGCCCTTCTTAGGGATGATGCGTTTGTGGGCAAGGGGAAGTTCTTTATAGGTAAAAGCCGATCAGAATTTGGCTTAATGGTTTTGTTGCTTATCGTATATCCAAGGAGACTAATAGATTTCATTGAAAAAGAACATTTATTTTCATTAATAGTCAAGTTATACTTACTAGCAGCGTTCATCAGCCTGTTTAGGTTCCTATCATGCTCCTCTTGTGTTTTACCACATACTGTTATGTCATCTAAATAAGCAAAGGTGTCATTAAGATTTTCTGCCCTGATTATGCCATCGATAACTCTCTGGAATGCAGCAACTCCATTTGTCACCCCAAAAGGAATTCTGGTAAATTGATACAGCTGACCACATGCTTCAAAAGCTGTAAAAGGCTTATTTTCAGCCTTGATGTCCAACAACAGCTGGGAATATTTTCCATCACAGTGGTCAACCAATCAAAAACGATTACTCATCAACCAATAGGAAACGGCTTTACACAGCTGGTTCTTGTGTTATTGCTCCATCTGTTTATGTTCCAAATAAATGCTTGTTGTTTACGTTGTTGTTGCTTTAATTACAGTGTTACACTTTAAACCTTTTAATGTAAACAAAAGCCATATAAAAATGTTTTTATTTTCCTGGTGTTTTTTTTTTTTTTTTTGTGATTTGTATGACGAGTTAAGGACTTGGTAGGTGACCTAGTAACGTGATTTTATTTTTACTTTATATTTGTGTAGCCAAAATTTTTTTTATTAATACAATGGTAAGTTCTAATTTTTAACTGTTAGTTGATCAATAAAATTGATTAGTCAAGAATGACAGTGCCATTTAAAACGTGTTGGAGGATGAGACTCACAGTTGATGTGTCAGTTTAGACAAATCTGATTTGTAACACAATGCCTCTTTAGAGTTAAAGGTACAGTTTAGAATTAGAGGAGTTAGGTCTCCTTGGACTTCACATATCAGATACAATCCTTTCGCCCAATGCTATCACTTCTTGTAAGTAATATTCATCACCTTACTTTTTCTATAAAGGAAAGTAGGTACATTACAAATCATACACAGAGCACCTGCCTAAGATGGGGGAATTTGTTCCTTACTATAAGAGATGTGTTTAGTCAACAAATTTATTTATTTTACCTCTTTAAAAACCTATTGAAATTTGTATTTTACTATGAAAATTTTATAATACACAAAACAACAAAAACAATAGTAAAATATGTCAATAAGTAATAATATTTTATGAAGTTTTTACCAAACACCTATTTTTTGTGAAAAATGTCAGGCATTCCTAGTAGGTATACCACATAAAGGCAAACCACAAAAAAATTGCCTTACCCTCCTCGCAGCACAGAAAGGAACCATCCAAGGAACTAGTTATGGTAGAACAACTGAGTTTTCAGTGTATTAAATAAATGGTTTTACTGTACCAAATAACAATGTTTACTCATTGACTATTGGATAGTTGTATCAATAGTCAAAGCTATAAGTATCAAATTATCTAGACTCACTCTTTTTAACTCAGTGACAGTGTTTGTAACTCACCAAGTACATATGCTCTATTCTCTTGAGAACATTGAAACTGTTTTATAGCAATCTCTGCATCCTTTTTGGCTTTCTCCACTAGTTCTTCAGATTCAAGGATCTTATTTCTAAGTTTATCAACCTGGGCGTCGCTTTCCTGCAATCAAATATTTAAAAACAATGGTTGAATAGTATTGTAAGGTTCAATTTTATAGTTTTGATTTGTTGTGATATGCGGTGAACTACGTAATTGTAAAACAGATATGCGTGGGCCAGTCATTTTATATTTAAAATATGCCTGAGGAAAGAATACCCTCGCCGCAGCAAACCTGCAGACTAAGCAAACTTTAACTTGTCTGATTACATATTTACTAAAATATTTCCATAAATAAGACATATTTATTCCCAATTTAAATAACATTAGATTTAACGAGTGCTTAGGTTTGCTGCTACGGGGAAGATAAACAGTGTTGTTTGACAAAACCTCAATAGTATAGGATGAAATAAATAAATTTGCCGAATTTGATCAATTTATATCCATAAACAAGTAAACTACAACAGTTTTCATTTTCTCGATAAGAATAACATGGGAATTTTAAATTTGCACTTGCACTTTTTTGAATATTCTCCGTAACCATTAGGCATACAACAATGCTTCAATATACTAAATTATTTCTTTTTTAAGCTCTATAAAATGGTTGGGAAAGAAATTCCGAAATATTATGGGAAAACCCCATTTTTACCCCATAAAACCCCCCATAAACCCCCGTTCCCATGGTCCGATCCTGCTGGTTCCCAAACTCGTTTGAATAAACGTAGATTTACACATTCATACGAAATTTAATCAGTACTGGTTTTAAAATGATTAAAGCAAATGGCCTTCAATAGTATGTAATATAACCAAGAGAGTAAAGTCCAGCCAAATATTGTAAAGTGTTTTATTAGACTCGTTGGGAAAATTTACAGGGATCCTTCTGACATTTTAAATTAACATAGCTTGACGAAGGATAAATACTGAACAGTTTGATGTGACTGAAGTGTAGGGGTAATGGTTACTTTGCTGTGAGTGCTTAAACTTTGGCATTTGTACGTTTGACCCTGTGTGATGTAATATTTCATTTCATTCATTCATTATTTAGTATTAAGTTTCTTAAAATGTTAACTTCTGTTCATACACCTTTGTTATTTTCCTCAGAAAGGCTGTCCTAGTATTCATTTTCCTAATTTATATAATTTTATTAATCTGTCAATTATTCATTATTAATTATATTCATTCCATGGCCTATATTTTTTTTACAAAGCTCACAACTTAATTATTTATTAAATATGTAAGAGAATTGCAATACATCAAAATTTCTTATAATATCATTTCAAAATTAGTCCTTAAGGAATCAAAATTCAAGAAGCAGTGAAACAGTGATCCATGTGTTCAACAATGAATTATGTAAACATTGAGATTGAGATAGAAGGAAGCCAGAGTGGAAGTTGAAAATGTTAGTTAAAAGAAGGATTCCATATTTTATCTAAATTAAATTAATTAATATCATCAAGAAAACCAGTTTATATCAAGTTATATCACAGTAAACCTCAAGAGGACTCAACTCCATCATTGTTATTTTCAAAATTAAGTATAAACTTTTCTTTTAAACTCTTTTTAATTCAGTGCTAATTGGACTTACCTTTTGGACAAAATCAAAATTAGATTTTTTCATTGTTGGGATTTTGTAAGTTTAACACCTTAATTAGGCCTATTTGGACAATATTAAATTTATTAATTCTTAGCATTCAAGCCAGCACGACACCCTACCCTGAGATATAGCACATCTAAATTATTTGAACCTTTATTTCAAACTTATCTTGTATTTCATTTTCATTTCAACCCCCACACACCATTGTCAGTCCTTTCATTATAAGGTACTAGCTGGCCCGACAGACGTCGTCCTGTCCTATTGTGGTTTTATGTCACATGCTCGTTCATTTTCAAGATGAGCTCGTTCTTATGGCTCAATAACGTCCTGGTTGAAGTTCGTTCGCTACGTTGTATGCCTAACGGTCACGGAGAAAACTCAAAAAAATGCAAATTTAAAATTCCCATGTTATTCTTATAGAGAAAATGAAAACTGTTGTAGTTTACTTGTTTATGGATATATGTTGATCAAATTTGGCAAACTTATTTATTTCATCCTATACTATTGTTGTTTGGTCAAAAAACACTGTTTACCTTCCCCGTAGCAGCAAACCTAAGCACTCGTTATATCTAATGTTATTTAAATCCATATATATAAAATCCAATGTATGTTTGTGTTCAGTCAAGTGTCTTTGTTTTTTGTATTAATTCTATATGTCTTTGTTTTTAACAGTCCATCTGTAATCCCCATCACATTACCATATGTCAATTTTCATTGTTGCATTCATTCATCGCGAATCACCTCTCATAACAACACGTACTCATTATTTCTCTCTTAAATCAAACCTCTTTTATACCAAAACCCTCGACCTTTTACTCTTTATTATAATAACACCGCACATTTTTGGTCCTTTCGAGCCGTGGATTTTTGGTCCTTTCGAGCCGCGGATTTTTGGTCCTTTCGAGCCGCGGATTATATCTACAAACATTTGTGCGACTTTTTCTCAAGTTTATTTTCAATGTCTCGGTTGAACGTATTTCATCCATCGTGAGGCCTGAGGCCGCCAAGGACAATACCGCATCGCCATTTTGAACTTTCCCAGATAGCAAGGACCCTTGATTCAAGGTAAACTTTTCCCTACAATTTGCATTCACAATTCAAGGTTGCAAATATTAGGAACATTGTGGCTGGATTCAAGGACAACAAAATACTGCCCTTTTTGAGTTCATAGATTCCGCCCTGAAACAGAGTCAACAAAACAACAGCGCGAATTCCCATGATGCAGTTCGACCAAGCGACGCCAGCCAGACGCCAGGATCCACCCCTAAACAATCCTAACCTCTTTGTCTTTGTCTTTGTGTGTCTTGTCAGTTTGTCTTTTTGCGACGTTTGTTTCTCGCGTTATTACTATATCAGAGTTTTTAGACATAAAGTATTCATATTGAAGTTAGTTTTTGTCAATTTTCAATTTCTTTGTTCATAGTTAATTCCATAGTGTTCGATTTTAGAAGACTAACTGCAACAAAAGTGCTTGTGAGCCAACGAAACATAAAGGTGAGTCAGCTAATCTTTTCATTGTATTCATAATATTTTTTCCATTCTTATGATAAGATATGTGTGTTAGAATGCTAATCATACTGACATTAGAACCTCAAGTTACAAATGCTCTGAAAATTATCTTACAACAATAAACTGCCAAATTTGGACTAGGATCCAGAATAATTCTAGGCCTGTGCTTGCCCTAGGCCTCATGACTGGTGAATTGTTTTATAGTTGGCCTAGAAAGTATTGTGATCCGTTGGAATATTGTATCTGGAATTGTTCAAGACCTAGTTACTTATTTTTGCCAAATCCGGTGGGCTACAATATTATGAACACACAAGCCAATATGTAACTTAATGATGCAGTTTTTTATCAGCGTAGATTGTCTTAAGTTATCATAGGCCGAAGTTATGAAGTTTCATTTAAGGATGAAGAAATGATTTTCGATGGATTGGATAAATAGACCTAGGCCTATAGAAAAATATTTTAATTTAGCTTAGGCCTATCGGCCTATGTCTTAAGTTATAGACTTGGTACTGTAGCCTAGGTCTAAGGGCTTATCCTAGTCCTATGTCCTGATGCTAGGGTTTTTCGGCAAACGTTTAGATGGGTTAAGATTAGCATCTCTCAAAGATTTTAAGTTTTGTACACCATACCCATTGATTAAACTAAGTAAAGGTAGGCTACCGTAATGAACTAATTTAAAACAACCTTCTACAAAATGTCACTTGACTGGAGACCTGCCATTTTGGTTTTATGTAGCTGTTAACTTTAAATCATATCCTGGTAACTTGTGCCTATTTAAGTTACTAAAGATGTATATTGGCCATGCTGTAAGTTGTAAAGTTATTGTAACAAGGTTACCTAGGCTGCTGTGTTATTTTTCAAATTAACTAATTAGCTTCAGCGAACACAGATTTAAAACAAGTGGCTTGCCGTTTGAACAAACGTTACAAGATGAGTTGCCATCTTGCTTTGCATCGAAATTTGCAGAATTTAGAACTGTAATTTAGACATTATTATGAATAACTTGGTCTGTGTGCTGCAATTTAACTTACGGTACCGGTATTAACAATTTTGGAAAAATTCTGAAATTTTCTGCTTTAAATAAACCTTACCATTTGTAGGCCTATAGTTTTTAAATTTTATTGATGATTTGTAATTTAAAACAAAAAATATTAATAGCCTAAATCATAACTTAATATTATTAAAACCTTAGAGTAAGAAAGTTAGGTTAAACTTACTAAAACTTTCGTTTGTTGGTCAAACAAAAATTCACTTGGAAGAAAGTTGTTTAAAAAAAAATTAATGCCAGACTTATGGTTTACTTCTTTTTCCATCTTGCTTAATTTAGCCAGAATTTCAGGTTGAACAGAGAGGCAAGACCATTGAACGAGTCTAAACTAAATTTTTTGTACTTGATTCATTTGGTAAATCCCACTGTACACCCCTGAAAACACACACTGACCAATTATGTCTATTCTGTACTTTACTACAGAAGTGAGATTGTCAAAGCTAGTTTGTTAAATACAAAAACATGGCATATTCTCTCTAAAAGCTGATTGTTTTGTATTTTTCTTCCAATACTAGCTGTAACCCGCGGGCTTTGCCCCGTTTAACTTCTTAATTTTCAAGATGATCTCGTTCGCATGGCTCAATCACGTCCTGGTTGAAGTTTGTTCGCTACGCTCACTCACCTTTAGATTGGAGCTCGTTCGCTACGCTCACTCACCTTTAGGTTAGAGCTCGTTCGCTGCGCTCACTTGCCTTCAGGTTAGCTCGTTCGCTACGCTAACTCGCCTCCAGGTTGAAGTTCGTTCGCTACGCTCACTCACCTTTTGGTTGCAAATTAGCTGTTGTCATAAATGTAAAAGAAATAATAGTGCTGCACCCTGTTGGTAATCCTTGTAACTTTAATGCTATTAAACATCATAGAACAGAACCAACTTGTTTAATTGAAACAGCTGTTAAGATTCATTAATTCCAT